GCATCATAATTATTTTAAGAACCGAAGTCATCAATGCAAAATGCTATCCTACTTTTTTGACTCGAACGATTATTTTTTTGATAACTGCAATTCACGGTTTTAATAAAGTTAAATCAAAACACGCATAACATATTTGTTTTTATTGCAGGTCTTAATATCGGACAGCTTTTGAAATAAACCTTCTGAATTCCCAAGCAACCTTAAGCGGCATTGTTTTCGATTGAAAAAGGAAACCAATACTTTTGTTGTAGAGAAGCAGAAAAAATTTTGCATAAAGCAGATACAACACGAAGGCACAAATTTGCCATCAAAACGAATACAGTATAAGCTATTGATAGCACAGAAAATAGTATACCCAAGAGAAAATTTCAGTTTCGGGAATATCGGTTTAAACACCAAGTTCACTGATTCGCCCCAAGGCTTCGGTTTTGTGATGGATTCGCGCCTGAAATGGAGGAGGCACCGCGTTTACTCCCGACACCTTAATCTTCGTGTGGTGTTTCTTGGCTGGGCTTTAATATGGACACAGTCCCTAAACTGTGTTTTATGTGGAGAAAAATTAGGTAAGATTAAAGCATAGCGCTCGGATTATTTCTAATATACTAGTATTTAGATTTCCTTTGCTTTGCGAAAGTCGCAAAGTTTGTTAAAAAGATACAAAATGAGTTAGATTATAAAAAGATTTTGGCTTTTTATTGAATCCTCAAATCAAAAAAATCGTACCATCAAGTCTGTCTTAGAAATATCTAAGCCAATGTATTTAATAATGGACGTTTCGAGCCTTCTATTACACTGTGCGACAAAATTTAACAAAATCTTTGTTTAAGTTACTTTTTTGATTGTTTTCGGTTAAGGTGCATAAGTTATGCACAAAAATATTTATGCCACCTTCTAAGTGATAGGATTTCTTTTTTTATGATAAATTTTATGAAATTATTATTATGAAAATATTTAACACAAAATATTATTTTTTTTTACTTCCAATAAACTATTATTTTTTTTAAAAGTGAAATTTTTTTCAGATTTTTTTTGGCTTTTTCAGAGATATTCTCGCGTAACAAGTTCCATACGTAGTCGCCCAGAGTATAGAGCTGGGAGAAAAAAATTTTAAAGCATTGTTATAAAAGCCTAACGGTATATTTGATTAATGCATTTTAATTAATAGATATCGAACTTGCATTAACGCTTATAACGGTGAAAAAATATTTTCCCAATATGTGTTTATAAGGCTGTGAAATATGCAAAAACACGCGTTTTTGGGACATTTGAGTGTGCGTAGAAGCTGATTGGCTATTGATATTAACAAATCCACAAACTTGTATTCTTATTTTGATTGGTAGAAGTGAAAAATAAGAAAAAATCAACTTAAACATTTTTTTGTCGCACAGTGTTATTCAAGCCTTGTATGATCTTATATTTAGTCCTCCTGATATATGTTCCATTTATGTCACATTGGTTTGCTTCTTTACTATGCCCTTATCAGCTGAAATTAAAAAGGCCAAGAAATGGAAGATTTAAGTCTGACCAGGTCCACTTGAACATCAAAATCATTTCAGATTCAATTAAATTTGGGCACTTGTATTATCCACAAATGCATAAATGTTATTTTATTTCAATAACTTTTATTTGTAGTCATTATATTTGTATTTATCCCGTGTCCCATTTACTGTTGGTTTTTACGATATTTACGTCCAAAAGTTCGTTAGGTTTTGGCGTCGTATAACCGTTTAGAACACCAGTGCTGGGTTCTCGTTGTATAACAGTTAAATGAAACACCATTTGATGGTGTTTGTCCTATATCTACATCTAGTTGAATTTAACGAAATATAATGGTTTAATTCCTTGCTTAAGGGCAGAGTCATGTCAAATAGTTTGATTTTTCATGTTGTCGAACAGTTAACTGGGCAAAAATTATAGCAAATATTTTTATGGTTTTTGCGCATGTTACGTTCAGTTTTTAAAAGGTTATTAATATTTTCGGCCAAGACGCTAAGGCCAAGAACCGAACCCAGGTGAATAAAGCAAGAAAGGAAGCCGTAAGTGAATTTAGAAATGTCCTACACCGTAGACATCATTCAATTCGGACTTAGAACCTATTAAAAAACAGCAAGTAAACGCAAATAATTTTGGGACATGGGACAACTTGCTTAAAATGGACTAAAACAAATTATTTGAATTTCTTAAAGGTAGTAATAAATATAAAAGCGAAAAAACTTGAAACCTTAAAGGCGTTGTGCAAGTTATCTTTTAAAAAATTTTTTTTTTTAATTTGAATACTTAAAACATGTTTATCGTTTTTGGATTGTTTGGAAATTTTCAGGATACGTAAATTCTTGTTAGTATAAACACGTTTTAGTACAAGATCTGAAAGAATATTGGACATAATTTCAATAAAAATATCGATTCGAAAAAAAAACCGGGTCGGATTATTTAAAAAAAGAAATTTAAATTTTTTTTTAAGTTGACGTTTTTTTTTAACATTTTAACTTTTTGGCAGCGCATGAAAACAAAAACTTTTCAATTACAAAGCATATTATAGGTTACGATGCTCACGGACTTTAAAAAATTATACCTTTCAAAAATTATGAACTGACTGTTGTTAGTCCGCAAGCCCCCCTCTCTCCTTTACTTAACCCATATCCATGGCATATAAGTAGGGATACCATATCGGTCTCAGTCAAAACCAGTGAAAATTACACATCGGACCCCACAAAGTATTCATACATATTTCTCATCACCATCATGATCTGAATCTCTTCTCCTGTCTGTTTCTATGTAAACTAGTCTCTCAGTTTTAAAACTATCTTACTGAAACTTTACCATAAGTTGTGTAGTTATTGCACGCAGTAAAAAAAGTCGGAACGGGCCGGATCGGGCGACTATATCGGATAGCTCGCATACGAGGGATTAAAAAAAAATTATCACGCCTTTGTTTTTGATCAGATCGACTTAATTTTTTCAGATAGTGTTTTCTAACATCTTTTGAATTTGGAATTGAATTTGATCAGATCCGGATAACTCTATCACATAGCTGCCACAGGAAAGATCGAAAAGTATAAATATAAAACAAGAAAGGAAGCTAGCTGCGGCAAGCTGAAGCTTATATAGTATATATACAGTATATACAGTACAGTATATATATGTAAATAATATATACCATTGCAGTCGTATTTGACGTGTGCTCATCAAATGCATAAAGGCTAAACAACATCGAAGCTATGACGATATTCGTATACATTTTCCATATTATCGACTAATGTTCATATGGCAACTATATAATATAGTTGTCCGATTTTAATCAAATTTAATTCGTAATTCAAGAGATAATTTCATGATTTTTGGAAATTAGACTTTGTTAATGATTCCTAAATTTCGAATTAAATTTCATAAAAATCTGACGATTATATCATATAGCTGTCATATAACAATCGTCAAAGATATGAAAAATGAATAGAAAAATCGTCAGAGATTTGATGTTGCTTAGCCTTTATGTATTTTGTTCGACCTATTTGATGTCTGCAAGGGTATATAAGTTTGGAATGCCGAAGCTAGCTTCCTTTCTTGTTTTATTTTGAGGCAATTAATCATGATTGATTGTTGGACATTCTGCTACAAATGTAATACAAACTCCTTCTTATTCAAAATTATTTTCTAAGTTTTTAGTTCCTTTAGCTGTAAAGGAGTGTTTTTTTAAACTATTATTTTTTTTAAGAAAATTTTGGTTCCGTATTTAAATTCATAATAATCTTAAAAATCTTAACTAGGGAATAAATAAAATGAGATTCCGCAGATTCTAATATACAATTTGTATGTTGCTTTACAAAATCATGTGTTTTACTTTGTAGTACAGCTTTATTTTACGTGAATTTAAAATCAAGAGAAAGGGGTGTAGTCGAAGGACTATTAGAACCCGTTACTCAAATAAACCATTTTAAAAAGCGTGAGTAATAAAGAAATCTCAATATTTAATATCTTATAAAGTGGGTGCCACAAAACTAAAAAAAAATTCAAAATCCTTAATTTTAAGTCCGGACATCTTAGCTTTTATAGTCTCCAGAAACTCGACATTAATTCCGAATGACAAAATGGGTAGATGATTGACTTGCCAGATTCTGATTAAAAATAAGAAGATTTTTTACTTCAAGTTATTCTTTAAGGGTTTAAGAGCACCATTAGAAATCCATTTTTACAACAAGAATAACGCAAGAAAAAACTTTCACTAAAACTGTTTTCTTAGAAAAATCTAATTTTTAACCATTTAGTCAAACTGACAATTATATTTATTTACCTCTTAATATACTTCTAGTCATTATATTCCACTAAAAGTTTTTTTTTAATAGGAAATCCAAAATGATTTTGGATTGTCAGCTTAATGCCTACAATTCTTTTTATCTAAAACTTTATATAGGTATGTATATACAATTTAGGAGTGGGTAAAAATTGTATAATTAAAAAAATGTAATTACGGATCTAAGATAAAAATCCGGAGTTTGTCTTAAAAACAATTCAAGAATTCTCGAAAACTAACTAGCATCGGCGAGAACGGGACTAGAATGAGTCAAAGAGTATTGTCAGTATCAGTCGCAATTCGCAACCGAACAGGCTGAACCGAAATTGTTGAGTTGGCTGTGAGAGTTACATTCGGCCGTACTCGTCACCCGCCAATACTCTTTGTCCGCAGTCGAAGGGGTCGTACGGCTGGGACTGGGATTGAGCAAAGGACACCCAAGCAGCGGTCGCGCTGACCCACTTTCCCAGTTCGTCAGCCCAGAGCAACGCCGTTTGGTGGTGGCTTCCCCTGCATCTGGGCTCTGAGCATCGGCTCTCTTTGTCATGCGCCGGTTGTCCCGGCAAAGAGTCGACTTCGCGGAATCCTCTCCCGGAGAGAAAACTTCCCAGCCGAAAGCTCGTCGTCCAGACTGGCCGACGGACCCGAGGAGACTACCTTATACATAATCTACCACGGCGGAGGCTCTGTCCCGCAGAGTCCTTCAGTTACCCCGACGACGCGGACGTGTAAGGCTTGTGCCGCAGGAGTTTATGCTGCCGACTGCGGGGCGCCTCGGAGACGATATCGCTATCGCTATCCTGGCCGAGGCCGACGCGAACGGTTCGCTCGCACGTGCCTCTTGCATGCCGAGCTTGAGGTGTTCATTTAAGTGCGTGCATGTTTTCCGTTTTGTCGGAAGCCAAAATATTTGAGTGAGCCCATACAAAGAAAACTGTGCAAATTTTGTGGTCCCCTTTTCTGGGGCAAAATGCAAATTGAGGCCAACTTAGTTTTAAAGAAGGATGCGTTTGGGTGTTCGAAAATATAGAATCTTGAGTAGCAATTAGGTTGACTGCAAGAAACTCAGACCCTCATTCAAATGAAAATAATCATTCCACTGCAAAAGTACGATGGTCATTCCCTAGTGGTTGGTCGGTGCGCTGGGCCATATGTTCCGCTTAGTCTACATTTTTCCTTAAATAGAGCCATGGCTCTGGTCTTCAACCTTACTAAACTTCTTAAGGGTTTTTAATTAGAACCCTAGAGTATGATTGGTGCTTAAGCGATTTAGTTCACACAAAACAATTGATACTACGGTGCGGCGAAAAGACGCAATAAAGTTTGCTCCATAGGAACCTTTCGGCGTAGTGTAGTATTTTCATTTCCGTACCTGCATTTCTTTACACCATTCCGACTTTAAAGTCCCACACTGACTTCAGTTTAAGTGATTGCGCCCGCTTGCATCCAGGTATATCCATCCAGGCATATATGTACATACTCATTCATCTAATGCAAGCTGAAGGCATGGAACCGAAAGACGAATGAGAAATAATTGCAGCCAAAGAAATCCCTTGTTATTGTGAAACCCCAGCAGGTTTCTTTTTCTCAGCACGATGCTCGCTTCTGACGAATTGAAAAAGTACTATAATTCGTCGAAGACATTCCTTGACAATCGAACAATACACGAACTACATATTAAACATCAGACCCACCATATTAAAGCCAACAAGGCGGCATACGAACTGCCTTGTTTATTAACAAAAAGGATAACAACAACATTTATACTTTGGATACGTTGGCATTTTTATTTTCAATAGCATAGCTTAATCATATAATTGTCGTTCAAGTACAGGGTAATTGAAAACAAGCAAGTGTTGAACTTGGTGTTTTAAAATCAACTTTTAGGGCAAAGTCAATAATTAAGTCAATTTCCTTTACGGGAAAACATTCAACTAATGATGCACGTGCGTTCGGGTCAACTGAATATGCTAGCTAAAATATGAAAAATCGAAACATTGCCGAATTAGTACTTCCCAAGACTACACAAATTAAAATGAAATAAAATTAATGTGAAAAAATATGGATACCCAAGATGTTGCCGGCGCTTTAAGTGATTTAAATACAATACTCCACCGGGTGAAGTAACCTTCTTAGTCTCTGGATACCAACGTGCAAAGTCTCTTATTTTAGGGCTTAAGTGTTTATATAAGTTGCCAGATAAAGGATAAAGCAAAAAGCGGTTGTTAAATAGTTGTTTGGCAGACAACCGACTCCGAGAGTGAATGCACCTAGGGACGTGCTGACTTTACCAGTTAATGAGCGGTAAAAGCTACTAACTAAAACCTCCGAATAGACAACAGTACGAGCTTGGTCTGTAATGCAACTGCCCAGCAAAGCCAAAGCATGTGCTCACTGCTGCCCCGCCAGTCGATCCACTGACTACAAATTGCTCGAATGGATTGCCCGAAGGCCAGGAGCCTGGTGCTCACCTTCCTGTGCATTATCAGCGCGGCCACGGCTGATGGTGAAGTCATTTTTCGAATCGATCCGCTGGGTAAGCAAAGCATTTCAAAGTTGTTTTTTTTTTTTTTTCGGGCGACCATAGTAGTTTTATTTTTGTGAACATTCGTAATGTTCTCTTACTTAAAACGTAGAAGGACTCGAGGAGCCATAGAGTATAAAGAAATCTTTAGTAGGATCGTTATTAAAATGTCGGTCAATTTCGATTTATGTCTGACTGTCGAGATCTCGAGATCGCTTAATTTTTTCTCCCTCCGACCGCATAATTCCCACAGTTTTTGGGGAGTATAATTTTGGAATGATAATACAGCTTCTAGTCATAAACAGGCATTAAAGGGTTCGAGTTTCTCATTACCACTTTTACTAACACAATCATCACAATTCTGGCCAACTTAACTTAAGACGCAAACGTCTCTGTCTTATGTGTGTATTCACAATTCAATAAATGCATTCGAGAAATCATTCGCTAAAATGCAGACCAAGAAAAAAAGTGTTTTAAAGCCCATCAAATCGTATTACAGGCGAGAACACAATAACTATTCCTTTTTATACCAATACAAAGAGTATTATAATATTAGTAAGGAGTTTTCAATGCCGTAAAAGAGACACTTCAGACCTTATAAAGTATAGGTATTATTGATCAAATGACTATATCGTACAGTTCCCATAGAAAAGATCCAAGAAATAATGGTGCAAAAATGTTATCGCAGTTGTTTTTATCAAATATTATTTATTATATTATTTAATATAATTTAACTTTCATAGAAGCGTGATTTTTGAAATGTCGAGTTTATCAGAAAACAACAAAACTGGAAAATCGCTGTTTTTTTTTAGCACAAAAGTATGATTTTTGGGTGAAGAATATCCTAGCGACTCTTGAGCCTCTAAATGAATTTTAAAATCGGATGGCTGTGTCATATAGTTGTCATGGAAATTATGGATAATTAAAGAAAAATCGTTATTGCTTCGATGTTGTTGGGCATTTATGCATTTTTTCTGACACTTATTAATATGTTCTTGTTAAATGTGATTAAAAAAGTTATTTCTAGAAAGTGATGACAATTATATCATTCAGCTGGGAAAATGTATGCTTAATTTAAAAGAACTGTCTACAGCCATGGACAGATACATAAATGCACAAATATCTAATATGCCATCGAAAACTAAGTACATCACAATAAAGGATATAGTAATTCTTTAACATATTAAGAAAACTGTCTAATTTATAAACAGTAGTAAACTATTAAATGTTCGAACAATTGTTATAGCTATTTTTGTAGGAGTGCCTGCAAATTGTGTAATCACATAAATATTTTTTATTTGTCTGTATTTGGTGCTGTGTCCTTTAAGTTATACCGCTTCACACCTCCAGTTTATCCTTCCCACCAGCCTTTTAAAAGAAAACTAGACAGATAGATTCTTTGATTCCTGCTGACAAATCATACGAATTTTCCAATTTCTCATTAGTATGGTAATTCAAAATTGAACTGTATTGCAGAGGATTGCAATGGGATTCAGATTAGATCTTTGATCGGTCAATCCAAAACATACATTTTTTCGTTCTGCAGCCATTTTCAACGACTCTAGCCGTTCAATTTCATAAGTTTCTTATAACGGCATATCTCTAATAATAATAGACTCCATTTCCTTCTCCAGTCTATATAAGTTATTTAATCAATGGATCGATTGTTTAGGACTATTGGTACAACACCATTCCCATTTTGGCAAAAGGTCGTTTTTCGGAACATTCTTCCGAATTTGGTTTTTATTTAAATAACAATTACGTTGCTTAACTAATACATAGATTGATAACAATTTTTGCAGTTAATTTTGAAATTAATTTAAGCAACGGATTTGCCGGATTTACTTATTTGATTAATAAAGGTCCTTTCTCGCGGCTCATTTTTCACAAAAATAGTCAAATTAGGAATCAACTTTGAAACACAACAAAACCAGTATTAAATTTTTACATTTTAAAAATTACGTTCCAAGCCAATGTGTGATATTTAATTGAATTTTTTCAAACCACAATGAAATAACAATGCTGAAATGTAACAAAATATACTGGAGGTTACATAATCCAGAGAAAAATCGTTAAATAACGAAATAACTTGAAGGAAACCATTCTTCGAACATTTGTGCTACTTATTTGTCAATGGCTGTATAGTAACAATAGAAAGCAGCAGAAAACATTTTGTAAAAAAATTAATAAAACTTTACGCTTATGTGGTGGCTTGTTTGACATTTTTATATTTGATTAAATATAAATAATACACTATAAAGTAGCACAAAAAATGTTTATGAATACGATTAGATAAACATGTACATAAGTGTAAACATGGTTGCTGGAGGAACCGAACTCGTTTTTGCTAAAGTGAACCCAAAACAGTATCTCCCGGTCCCCATTTATTTTTACCAACAAGGACAAAGGGTTAGCGTAATTTAAATTAAGTTATTTAGTTTCTGAGGGATATAATACTGTGGAGAAAATAAGAATTTGGTTTCGTTATAGATAATAAGTTGTATTACTGAGTTTCAGTAAATCACTTTCAACAAGAAAGAATACCATTTTCGGCGAGCTGAGGTTTATATGTTAAGTTCAATCTTAAGAACGTCAATGATAAGATTTTTCTCTTGTTTTGATTTGATTTTCTCAATGCAAATAACATATTTGTTCAGGCAGTCCGACTTTTAAAGAAATACATTTTTTATATCTGTTATCGTAACACCATCTGCCGAAATTATAAAAAACAAGAAACAAAGCCAGCTTTAAAACTGAGAGACTAGTTTGAAGAGAAACGGACAGACGGACAGACGTAAAAACGTATTTCAATTCAGATCGTGATGCTGATCAAGAATATATGTATATATGTACTATGCTTTTTGGGGTCTGAGGTGTCTCCTTCACTGCGTTACAAACTTCTGACTGAAATTATAATACCCTTTTGCTCTGCAAATGTATAGCAACGGCGTAATACCCTTTTCCCATTATTTATTTATCTCTTCTATTGGAGCTGTAAGGTATGGTCGTCCGATCCGTTTCGATTTAAATACTGCTTGCAATAAGTATAGAACTTTCGGCAAAGTTTAAACACGATAGTTCTAAAAGTGAGAAACCAGTTTGCATAGAAACAGAGAGACGGGCAGAATATGATGTTCAGATCGATTTAGATGGTGATACTGAGCATATAAATATTTTATGGTTTCTGGCGTGACGGTGATGTTTTCCTAATTTTTCTTACCATATAATGACTGATCTTTGCTTTGGCCAAAAACAACACCACAAACATGCTCCAGCCACCATTTTCGCCGGACTTGGCTCCATGGAAAAGTGGGTATGAGACCGTTGTGATAAGTCTGAGGGGGGTTGCTTTGAAGGGGACAAAATAAATATTGATAGACAAATAAATCATTTTTCTAAGAAGTACAAAGTCACCTTACTCTTTGAATGCCCCTCGTATATCTGACTGAGCTTATAATTATCTTTGCAAGGGCTGAAAAAACCAGCTTAATTATTGGGATTAAAAATGTAGATTCTTGTTACATTTTTGTGTCACCTATTCCGATAATCTGTGGCGAGCACAGTTTTTAACTAACAATAATTTGGTTAATATTATACTATACATTTCAACTTCTCCATGAGTTCGGTGCACACATTATGTCCACCTGCCCCGGGGCGTATCCTTTTTGTTTGTTTGAACGTTAATATCTTGAAAGCTGAATATTGGAATAAAAATGAAAATTGAATTTAAAAAAAGAGTATATAATGGTCGAGTCACTCCACTATAGCCTTTTCTGGTTATGGTTTAGTTTGCAACGCAGAAAAGGAGACGCCTCCAATCCTTTATTCTAAATCAGCATCCCCGTCCGAGTCAATACCGTCATGATAATCTGTCCAACTGTTTTAAAGTAATCTCGTTGAAATGGGCATTCGCTTTTGCGATTATCTTAAAACAATTAAGGTTTGTTGAATTTATTTTTATATACATTTGAAGAAATTAGATAGGAAAAGGTTATCTTTACTCTCTTTAGAGAAAACCATTTCAAAAAAATTGAGTACTGAAATCAATGAAATCAAATGTTTGAATTGTATTATTGGCAGGGACGGTTTTTTTCTGAAAAAAATTATTATCTTCGTAAAAAGAAAGTGCTACTTACACATTTGTTCTCTTTGCTTTAACTTAGCTTTGTTATCTGCCACCTTGCGAACATATCAGAAAGCTGCTTGTGATTCGGATCAGGTTGTTATAGCCTGTCCCCGTGGAACCAGCATTTCAATTGAGTTTGCCCAATACAACAAGTTTGTGGCGAAGGGTAAGTTAAAAAACCATTAAAATATCAAGCCCGAAATGAACTCCTCTATTTTATTTCTGTTATTCGGAAACTGATTTACAGATGGCTACAGTATTGAGGAGCTCTGTCCTGGATCCGGCGAAACGGGGCCCGAAATCCGTGGCAGGACAAAACACCTTCTTCGCGGGTCCATCTTTGGTTCGTTTTCACCAAAGGTAGCATCAAACAGATATGTAAATGGCGGCTACGGTCTTGCTGGATCATTGCAATCTGTAAGTGAAGCTACCATCTCCAGTGGCTCCGAATCGGTTTTAGATACGACTGGCTCTGCTGACGACGTGCAAAGTAGTGATTTTGATAGTGAAAACTCTTCGGATAACTGCATGTGGCCAAATGCATTGCAGGTAAACTAATTGTATATTTTTATACCCTTGCAGAGCAAAGGATATTATAATTTCGGTCAGCAGTTTACAACGCAGTGAATGAGTCACCTCAGAACCCATAAAGTTTATATATTCCTGATAATCATCACGATTTGAATCGAAATACGTCTCTACGTCGCTTCATCTGTCCGTCTGTCCGTTTTTATGTAAACTAGTCTCTCAGTTTTAAATCTATCTTGCTGAAACTTTACCAAAAGTTGTGTAGTTATTGTACGCAGTATATAAAAAGGGCTGGATTGGGCGACTATATCGTATAACTCCCATACAAGAGATTGAAAAAAAATTATCACGCCGTGGTTTTTGATCACATCTTTCAGATGGTGTTTTTTTTTTTAATCTATTTCGAATTTTCGAATTAAATTAAATGAAAATCGGATGACTAAAAAAAACAATGAAAAAAAATATTAGATTGTTTGATAATGACATAGCGGTTTCTTTATTGATTTTTGACGACGATTTTAACATACATAGGTAGTTAGCATTGTCCAATTTAAGTGCTATATGTACGATTATATTTGACTTCACCAGCGAAGCGCGAAATTTGAATGTAAAAACTGGTATGTCATTACCAAACAACCTAATATTTTTTTTTCATTGTTTTTATCCCGTTGTTTTTTATCCCACAAGCATGATTTTTAGGACATCGAATTTCTTTTACTACTCTTAAAACGAGAAAAAATGTCATAAAAATCAGAGAACTATATCATATAGCTGCCATAGGAAAGATCAAAAAATCTATATAGAAATAACGGAAAAAAATTTTTTTTTCAGCAGACAAGTGAAATTTTTTGAATAAAGTGTTTTCTAATGACCTTGAATTGCGAATTAAGTTTCATAAAAATCAAAAGACTACTTATATCATATAGCTGTCATATGAACAATCATCGAAAATATAAAAACTTAATAGAAGAATCGACATAGTTTCGACGTTATTTAGCCTTTATGTATTTTGTTTGACATATTTGATGACTGCAAGGGTATATAGGCTTCGGCTTGCCGAAGCTAGCCTGCTTTCTTGTTATTTGTAGTTTATTAGCTTATACTTTTCAAAAACAAGACATGTTTATATTAAATTCTCCTTAATTTGAAAGTTATACTCTAAACTCTATTTATAACCTATTATTAATTGTATTTAAAGTATTGAATATTTAAATATCATCTATGTTATAATTATTATATGAAAGGCGAAAAATCTTTTAATATAACAACCATTTATAGCACGTTGATTGCTTATATAGTAAAACTAACCACTTTGATTTGAAATACAACGATTTGCTATTATTAATCCTCATGTTTTCAGTACTCCTTACTGCAAACTGTAGTAGAGGCCTGCCAGAAAAAGAAGCACTGCAAGTTTCACGGTTCGCCTCAGTTCTACGGACAGGGTGCCAGTGGCGTGGGTGACTCTTCTGGGACGAGCAGTTATCACAGCAGCACGGCCAGCTCCGATGCAATTAGCAGCGATCCGTGCCCCAAGCGCAGGAAGATTGTCGAGGTTGCCTACAAATGTCGTCCATGTAAGTCATGCTCTTTCAACTTAAATTTTACCATATTGTTGGCTTACAAAATCGAAAAATGAAATGAGAAAATCTTCAACATTTTTGGGATATAGTTTCTTCAACAACTCTTTTATTTCGACTTAAAGTTCTTATAGTGCGGACGACTATATCACGGAATATTATCATAATATTAATTTCATATATTCAGCTTTTATACTTGTATTCGCGAAATTCAAAAAGATAACAAGTTTACTGAATTTGTTTAAAGATACGTCAAATAAATATATATTTTTTGTCAGGAGTCCAATGAAAAATTCAAGATCGCAGGCATTAAAATATTTATAGTATCGAAATTTAAATTGAGAATGGGAGATATAGAAGATACTGTATTGGGAGTGAATCCGCAAAATATGTTCTGAAGCCTCAAGGATATGGGATACAGCATTTTAGTTTTCCAAAATGTTAGATTTTGTATGGTCTCAAAACCTTTTTTTATTGAGATAGGACGATTTTGTGATGACAACTATGGGCATGGGAAAAATTATAAAACATATGATTTCAGTTATAATTGCAGGGTTATTCATTTGAGAATGCTAGCTTAGTATCTAGTTTCTCACTTATGTATCGAGCTAGTTTAATATACTTAATTTCTTTGTCTCTGCACGCTACTTAAGCGCAACTTACTCAGTTGAGTTTGTAGGTTGATCCTTCCAAATATATTTGGACGTGACTGCCCGTTACAAAGAAAGAACACTGATTTTTTAGGAAAAGCTTAAAGGCTTCTAGTTTGCGTCCACTACTCTGCTGAGTCGTTTGTATGCTTGGGTTGGGACTAGTATCGCTACTGACTCTTTACGGTCTTGGGGATGAGGGGCAAAAGCTCCCTCGCTGTACACATCTATGACAGTATACCTGAAGCTTAGATCATCCTTATTCTCCCACTAACTAGGTAAGTTAGTGATATCCTGATGATTTAAGAGGTCTCAAACTATATATAGCTCATCTACAGATGTCTTATAAGAGCGATATTCAACGAGAAGAATTTATAGGTGATACAAATTCTGGGTGGTCGACAAATGTGATTTGTTATAAACAGTGCTTTTTGACATTCGCAATAAAAACTTTACCACTATTTTGCACAGACGTCGTCTAAATGAACCTTGTGGCCGCCATTCCTAACGCCTCTACGAGCCAAAAGACCCTCTCCTTCGCTTCTCCAAAAGTTAGGTTGTCTCTCCGTGTTCCTAGACCAATTCGGTGTGCAGGTTATATTGACCTTTAGTCATGCACGTCATTTCAGTACAGACTTTCCATTTCCAACAATTTTTTTGAGCACCAAAGCAATATACAAGCTGTTAAAATAATCGGAAAAAATATTAACAGTTTGGTTCCAAATAAAAATAAAAAATATATTTAGTCGTCGCAGCGGTGTTCCCAAATAATTCGTTCTACAGTTTCTGTTAATTCGATTTTGATTCAACTGTTGATTTTATGATAAATATTCGTATGATAATTTATACGATAATACGAGCAACTGGTAATAAACAATATTTTTGCGGTATAGAGTGTATGAACAGAATTGTTTCCAATAAAAATATATAGCTATCGAATTTGAATTTCATAAATTTCAGATGAGTTCCGCAGCAAGGTAGCCTGCCTCAACGACGTCGCCCAACTAGAGTGCAATCCGTATTCCCGGATTGCTGTATATAGTGCCAGCTTTGGGAGAACCGAGTACGAAAGCATTCAGTGCCCCCAGCCGCAAGGGGTTCGCGAAGAAAGTAAGTTTGGGGTTTCGTCACTACACAGGGATCATGACCACTTTTCCTTGTATATTTTATATTTATATATTTATATTTTAAGAGTCTCAGTTAAATAGCTAGGCTAAATTTTTTTTTGTAAAGTTTGTTGTACCAATCAAAAGTGGTTGTCGGTCCCAGCTTCTTATTATTCTCTCCATGTGAGGTGATACGCACTGACGCAAAACATCTTGCCTTTAAAAGCGTGCCTCGCCTCTTATGCCACGGAAACCGTAATGCAAATTTGCCACGGACGTAGACGGTGCAACCTGGCGGCCGACGCGAATACCTTTGGAAGTCCCTGCCAACCCAATTCTCGTATGTACTTGAAGGTTGTTTACACATGCGGTAAGTTAGCATGGAATTAGAGAATCGATTTACAGAGGCGTTAGTGGTAAGATCACTGGGCATTTGATTAAATTTATCTTCCTGTCGCGCCTATATAGTGCCAAAGCAAGTTCTTAAGGAGAGCAAAGAGTCGAATGTGGAACCAGACGAAACCGATGATTTCGAGAGCGATTTAAACGACCTCTACGACGACGAGCTAATCTACAAGGAGTCCGAGGCGATTCCCAAGCTTCAGAGCAACACAACAACGTCTGGTCGCCGCAACAGCACAAGCGGTCTTAGTTCGAAAACCAGTGTAAATCTCCCAAGCAATCAAACCATAACGAACAGCTCTCTGGTCGCAGATGTCGATAGCAGTGGCGTGAACCCAGTGATGACACACAGCGCTGACCTAAGTCTGGAAGGTAAGGGACAGTTATTGCCAACTAAAATGCGAAAAACGAACAGGTTGGCCATAATGATTTTGGCCTTTAGTGGGAGTTTATTGCTATTTAATTTCATTTTTAACGTCAGTTTTTCAATTAACTGTTTAATATATATTTATATATTTACATTCTTACAGAGGACCAGGAGCGTTTATATTTGTATCTTCTTATTTTGGGCTCAATAGGGGTGTTTTTCTCAATAGTAATTATCGCCATTAAGTTAGTGCTTCAAAAACGTCGCGGTCTAACCACTGACACGCACTCGAACTCCTTTACCAAAGGGAGGGAAGCGTCCGGAGGAGTTGAGGAGACGACCATACAAAGCGGGTTTAATGACACGATATCGGAAATAGACGCTGACATTGATCTTAAAACTCCGCTACCTTTACCAAGCGTGTCCAAAAACGAAGTAAGTACAATATAGTAGATTGCTTTTCCATATTCTTACCGGCCACCGTGCAGAATTACTTGACGTATGCGCCGGCCAGCAGCCTGTACGCCGGGCTAACATCAAACCAGCTGACCACCGTGGGAAGTCCAGGCCTCGGTTCTAGTGTGACGACCAATCCGCTTTTGATGGGGGCTCGTCAGTCACCCGACCTCATTGGCATAAGCCCTGGTCCCTTTGCTACCACGAATGCATGCAGTCAGGGGCAGCTAACAGGTATATTGACCTCGGCTATTGTGATTGGAGCTAATGCCCCCAGTAGTAGTGCGATAAGTGAGTATATCCCCGGATTATTTTGGCAGTGATTCCATTTCCGTTCTCCCCCGGAAGGCACCATGGTACCCATAACCTCATTGGCGCAGTATACGACTGCTCCGACAATCAGAGGCGGGTATATTATAAACGCAGAGAATATGGGCATGCTCCAACGGCCAAGTAGCAGCGCAACGCCTCCGACATCACTGATCGGTGGCTCGCCTGGCCATCCTTCGCTCCCCCTCACCGTCGCCGATGGCTACTATGACTGTGACTCCACAAGCCCATGTTTCAATCCATGTTGGGGGGGCATCAACGCTGCGGCGGACTAAGCCACCCGTGCTGCAGCCTCAGCTTTCATACGATGGCACTGCCCCCCGCACTCTCTCCACCGGTGTGGCCGTGAGCTCCCAGTACTACTATGGATGACAAAGAACACTGGACTGCGACCCCCATGTGTACAACCCCGCGATGGGTGTGGGGATAAGTGCCTCGTCTTCAACTTTCAGCACCCAAAAGCCGCTTGAGGCAACAGATCGGCCAGACGCCATCGAATCTTAACAATTTATAAAGGCAGTCCCAGGCTCTTCCAGGTTTCGGGACAATTAGCATATAGTCTAAGCTTCCCCCCGGAGTCAAATGAGCGCAGACCCTTGAAGAGGTCATAGTTCCATTGGTCAGCTTCAGAATATAAATCTTTTTATTTTCACAATTATGTTATATGATTACATACTAGGTTCCCCTGAGTAGAAGTCCCAAACAATCCACAAATAGTCCATTAAGCATTAGCATGTCTTTTGCTTAGTTTTCTCTCAATTTCAAAAGGTCATAACATAACATGCTAGCACTTCTATAAAGAAAAAGATTTAGTAGTAAATAATAACCAAACTTTTGTGTTTCTATATTTTAGATAATAAGATTCGGATAATAATATTAATAAATTTGGAAATGCCATACCAACATTTTAGGGTTCTCCTTCCGTCAGCGTAGGCCTTTACCAAATTCGAGTATTTATTGGCAATATTTGTGAAAATTACAATCACTTCACGGAACCAAAACACTTGTATACATTCGTGCCAAAATCACCAGATGGTCACTTATATTTGGGGAACCACTTATGAACCATCACGCTAGAGTAAATTTTTTGAGTTTGTAAACCGTGCTGTGGGACTTTGCTTTGTAAGTAGATTTAATAGGAGATAGGTTTTCCCAATTTTGTTCATAAAGTTAAAAATATTTGGTTGGACTTTATATATTGTTTGGGGTGAGTATTCATTTAAACTGTCAAGTGCCTTCCTTAATAGCATTTAAGTGTATACATTCTGTATACGTTAAATCGGAGGGGCTATGTGTATACATTGACGAAACTAGTAGCCAAAGAAAAACCAACCCAATGGAATCTAATAATATTCGTAAAAAAATTTGTATATATATAGTGTAGAAGCCGAATGTTGGCATATTAGCAAGCCCACAATTACAGGAATAATGTTGGGGAAACTGTAGATAAAGTGGAATTATAATAATAACAGTAGAAAAAACAATTACCCGAAGTCCAAAGTTCTCAATAGAACAAAATTAATCAAGTGTATATAACATATTAGTTTTGGGCCGATATAAGATTTGAACTTATCCATAACAATAACTGGTATTCGTGTATGAAAATGTTGAAGGCCATGAAATATTTATACGAATCAAAATATGACACATGCATGCAGGCACGTTAACCCTACCCATTGAATTCCTGAGTGTCTATGGAAAGGTATCTCTCATAAAATAAAGCTATCTCTTAAGAAATTGAATTGAATAAGAACTATTTCATGTTGAGAATTTAATTAAGATGAAATTCAAAAAAAAAAGAAAAAAAAATAGGTTAGAATAAGTTATGGTTATAGCTAAACTGTAAAAAGATTTCGGTTGTCTTTTTTCTCAAAGATATATGTATGTATTGTAAATTTTATACGATTTATTTTAATGAGATTAATAAATGCTATAAATGAGTAATCCAAGATTGACTAAACAAAATGGGCATCAAATGTAGTTTGGAGTTATTTTTTTAATATTGTTTTCGGTCAAATACCATATCTGTGCTTCTTGTAAGTATTGATTGACCTCTTAAGTGACATTAAAATTTGTTTTCTTTTTTTCAAAAACCAATAATTTATTTTTATTTATGTTGCAAACAGAGAACATTATGTTGTTTTAATATATTGTTCAAAATTTTTGCCAATAAGTTACTTTTCCAGATTATTATTGATTTTTTGTACAACATTTTCCAAAAACTTGTATTTAAATTCGCTTGACGCTTAGGAAGAAAAGTTAATTTTATGAATATCTACTTGCATGTTAGCCACTGCTGGTCATCTGCAGCAAATTAAGCAAGGAGTACACCTGTGGACTATTCGGTATGGATAAAACTAACGCAGCTGCGAATGCACATATGTACATACATATGTATAAACCCTTTCGGTTATCGGCACATTCTTAAAATGGGCTGCTCCCGTGGACTTTGACCTCAGTTGCTTCAGGCAGACCAAAATTTAAAAATTTCATAGGATTAAACTTTAAAATTGAATAAGATGCCGAAAGCTATAAATTACCTGAAGAGTAAGCCTAAATACATATGGAGTCGAGTCGCAACAGGCGAACCAAAAATATATGTATACCTCGGTCAAATTGGTATATGTACTTTGACGGCCCGCCGCCACAAAAATAAACTTACCGTAAACACACAATTACGAAAACATACGATCTCCCGTTGTGTGAGCACCACCCGAGTAGAACGCTCCCGACCGACCAATCAGAACACGTCCCGTCGAAGCATCTCGTAGCCACGTCTATCGAAGCCTCTTTCAACCGTCTCGTAGCCACGATCATCGGAGCATCCCACGGCACTTGTGTAACGCCGATCATCGAAACATCCCACGGCAATTCCATAGCGCCGTCACTCAAAACACCTCTCGGCCCTTCCGTAAAGCTGATTATTAAAAAACATAGAACGAACTGTATTATCATTAAAAACATCCGTTGTATAATATTTTGAGAATAGCTGAATATAAAACCCTTGAAAGAGCTTTCCTTTCCAGTTCATTTTTGGAAAGGAGAGGTAAGCCGATCTAAAGAGGGGCCACATTAAATATAAATTTCTGTTTATTCCGCCTCCCGACTTTTGTTTGATCAGAATTTCCGATTTCTGATTCTGATTTTTCTTAAGTCTAAGGGCGTTTTCTGCATCTAAGACATTATGTTCAGGTCCAGGTAACTCTCCAATAATCGAGTGCCGTCAATATGAGCAGTCTAATGGTTTGTATTCATCGAGCAAGGGGTCGTAATCAATCAGGAAGTGTACCGCACTTTGGTGTTACGGAGTGGACGTTCCAACATAACTCAGCAACAAATTGACTCGGGACAGGTGCGATCACCTGTCTTTATCACATCCAGTGAACGGCCACCTTAATCGCCAGATCCAATCTGAAGAAGACTTGCGGCCAATTAAGCTAAATTTTAGAAACGTTTAGAGCTCTGCAACGCAGCTCAAGGAAACCACTACAAGACCTACTGAATATATGTTTCCACAATAGCCATTTGAAAGTTGTGTATTTACATTTTTTCTCAAATAACGCTTCTTAAAAAGGAATGATTAAAAATGTAAGTACGCTTACCTACCTCTAAACGACCTCCTCGCTAAACGACCTTCTCGGATTTGTGGATATCCGGCTCCACACCTGAAGTTTAATCGGGACCTCGTAGGTCAGGCACCTAGCAGACTTTCACTTTCGAATGAATCGATGACGCTTAGGCACAACTCAACGCCAGAGCTCCTCATAATACTCCATACCTGAAGATGGTAGCATTGACCAAAATCTGATCCAGCTCCTTTCATGTCTCAGCTTAATAGACTTGTTCCTCTTTTGGCGTCTAAACATTGCGATCTTGATTCTGCTGGCACCGGGCGCTATGGTTTAATTCAATTGGAGTTGATACTCGGCACTCGATTAGGTTTCACTTGACTGTCATAGCGTGGGTCCTCGATATGTCCATCTTCGGTCACTGTGCTAACTTTATGTTAAAAAAAAAACATAAAAGCCTAGCTGTAGATCATGCCGAATTTATTCTACAAAGTTTTATTAGAGTAAATGAATGAAATAAACTATTTAAAATAAAAATAACACGTTCCATTTAAGTTGCACCTCTTTTAACTTGGAAATAACGAAGGCAGAAATTGGAATTACACTGTGCGACAAAAAAATGTTTGAGTTGATTTTTTCTTATTTTTCACTTCTACTAGTCAAAATAAGAATACAAGTTTTTGGATTTGTTAATATCAATAGCCAATCAGCTTCTACGCACACTCAAAGGTCCCAAAAACGCGTGTTTTTGCATATTTCACAGCCTTATAATACCATATTGGGAAAATATTTTTTCACCGTTATAAGCGTTTTATGCAAGTTCAATATCTATTAATTAAAATATATTAAGCAAATATACCGTTAGGCTTTTATAACAATGCTATAAAATTTTTTTCTCCCAGCTCTATACTCTGGGCGACTTTGTATGGAACTGGTTACGCGAGGATACCTCTGAAAAAGCCAAAAAAATCTGGAAAAAAATTCACTTTAAAAAAAAATAATAGTTTATTGAAAGTAAAAAAAAAAAATAATATTTTGTGTTAATTATTTTCATAATAATAATTTCATAAAATTTATCATAAAAAAAGAAATCCTATCACTTAGAAGGTGGCATAAATATTTTTGTGCATAACTTATGCCCCTTAACCGAAAACAATCAAAAAAGTAACTCAAACAAACGTTTCGTTAAATTTTGTCGCACAGTGTTATTGACTGTTATTTTTTTCTGGGAAAGTTTATTTAGGGATGTCTTAAAAATCATCACCTTTGATACGAAAGTATGTTTATTGCCATGTTTCTTAATGGTTTTTTTTGATTTTTATTCCACCAGTAAAGCATTAAAGAACACCAAATTTGAGTTTTTTAATCCAAAATACGGTTAAAAATATTTAATACATTTTTAACATAAGAATATAACACAACTCTGACTTACTTAAAGCCATGAGTGTTATTCGAAATCCCATACGGCCCTATCGATGGAACGCCGCCCCTCAGATCTTCTTCGGTAGTTATACATTTCAAATCGTTGAACTTTGGCGTCTTAAAATATTTAATTTGAATTATTTTAGTGAAATAATAACTAGTTAATGTTGTCATAATAAAAATATTTTTTTTCCCTTGCAGAGAAAAGGGTATTATAATTTCAGTCAGAAGACACCTCGGATTCCATAAAGTATATATTATATATTCTTGATCAGCATCACGATCAGAATCGAATTACGTCTGTCCGTTTGACCGTATGTCTGTGTCTATGTAAACTAGTCTCTCAGTTTTAAAGCTATCTTACTGAAACTTTACAAAAAGTTGTATAGCCGGATCGGCCGACTATATTGGATAGCTCCCATACGAGAGAATCAAACAAAAAATTCTCACTCTGTTGTTTTTGATCAGATTTCTTCTAGATGGCGTTCTCTAACTATCATACTAACGAATTTCCGATAAAAATTTGATCAAAATTGGATAACTCTGTCATATAGCTGCCATAGGAAAGATCGGAAAAAATATATATAAATAATGGACAAAAGTTTTAACGTCGTTGTTTTTAATCCCACGAGTATATTTTTCAAAATGGAGTTTTTTAATAACCCTTGAATCGAGAAAAAAATTTCATTAAAATCCGACAACGTTAGCATATAGCTGCCATAGGAAAGATCAAAAATCTATATAGAAATAACGGAAATAAAATTATAACTTCGTTGTTTTTCATCAAACAAGCATGATTTTTGGAAAATAGAGTTTTCTATCGTCTCTTGAATTACAAATTAAATTTTATTAAAGTCGGACGACTTTATCATATAGCTGTCATATGAGCAATAGTCGAAAACATGGAAAATAATACAAAAATCGTCATAGCTTCAATGTGTTTAGCCTTTATGTATTTTGTTCGACATATTTGATGACTGCAAGCTAGCTTCCTTTCTTGTTTGATATTACGTAGTCTTCAATGACTTTTTTCTACGTGAATTTATATACTTTTCATTGTATTCTTGAGCTAACTTTTCATTTTCATGTGCTTTATCTCTAATTTGTAATAAGTTTCTACTAATGATTTCAGGTTCCATAATTGTTTCTCTAATGCTATCCATAACTTTTTTGACTGATACCAAATAAAATAACGCTAAGGTTTTCGTTTATCATTCTATGTTTTGTATTATTAAGAGCAAATTCCACAGTTTCAATGACTTTGTCCCAACTAGTATTTTTGTTAGAGTCACTAAGTTTGGCAGTCATTGGGCCTAAATTCCTATTCACTCTTTATACATGTTCGTTAGCTTGGGTTGAACCTGTAGCTATCCTTATATGTTGAATATTATTTTCTTTTAAAAACTGTTCGAAATCACCTGAAGTAAAAGCTGTTCTTATGTCTGAAACAATAATCCTTGCTCTGCTATAATAACGGAAATATTCTCCTAACGCTGTAATAACTATTTTAGTAGCTCTAGTTTTATTTAGAACCCGCATCTATAACAACTAGTAAATGTTTTTTAGGAGAAATTCAATCAACAGGGACATAATAGTCAATATGCAGCATTTCAAACGGAATTTTGCTTAAGGAATATTGTGCAACTTCAACTTTACCGTTTTTATATGAACGCCATCTGGAAAAAATCAAGTCGATCTGATCAAAAACAGCGGCGCACTATGGCTTTTTTTCGCGTTTTTTTTTTTGGCATAAATTCTAATTTATAACCTATTGAATTGAAATTTGGTTTGAATACATTTTTTAAGCTCCCAAGATGACCTACCAAGTTTCAAATAATTTGAGGCACTATTTCATATAGCTGCCATATAACCGATCTGGCCGACATGCAAAAAAGCTCCATTAAACATTTTTATTTCTTATTTTCTTTATTTTTAATGGAAAAAAAAAAAAATTATCCAAGATC